CCTCAGCCTCCCAAAGGCGCGGGATTACAGGCTGAACCACCGAGCCCAACAGCCACTATCTTTCAACCCAAAACTCTCCAGATGGAAAAGTTCCATTTAATTTAACAGGGATGTTTTGTGATACCAAATGTGACACAGTTTGTTATCACTTTTGGCAGAAATACAGGGCAGTCTGTACTGTACAAACACCTCTATCTTCAATACATACAGTTTGACAATCTTGTACTATTTTAACTAATTGAAAAAAACTGATAAATTTGTGATTCACTTTAAGTGCATTTTCTTTTTTTTGAGTTGGAGTCTCACTCTGTCGCCCAGGCTGGAGTGCAGTGGCATGCTCCTGGCCACCGCAGCCTCGACCTGCTGGGCTCAGGCAATCCTTCCACCTCAGCCTTCCAAGTAGCTGGAACTACAGGCACGTACTACTACACCCAGATAATTTTTTATTTATTGTAGAGATGAAGTCTTGCCAAGTTGTCCAGGCTGGTCTCGAACCTGTGGGCTCAGGCAATCTTCTCATCTCAGCCTCCCAAAGTGCTGGGATTACAAGCATGAGCCACAGAGCCTGGCTTAAGTGTATTTTCTTATACACTTAACAAAGCATATAAAACCTGCATTTACTAGAATGTGTCTGGAAGAAAAGTTTTAGAATTACTGTTGAATAAACTTGTAAAAGAAAAAGAGTGTTATGCTTCATTTCCCAAACAAGAAGTTAAACGAGAAGTTAAATAAGAGTTAAAGAGGTTATAAAATAAGGACCTATGCCTAGTATGGTGGCTCAAGTCTATAATCCCTGCACTTTGGGAGGCCAAGGTGAGAGGACTGTTGGAGCCCGCAGGTTGGAGACCTGCCTGGGCAACATGATGAGACCTCGTCTCTACAATAAACCAAAAAATTATCTGGGCATGGTAGTGCGCGCCTGTAGTTCCAGTTACGTGGAAGGCTGAGGTGGAAGGGTCGCCTGAGCCCAGCAAGTCAAGGCTGTGGTGGCCAGGAACGTACCACTGCACTCTAGCCTGGGCGACAGAGTGAGACTCCAACTCCAAAAAAAAGGGGAAAACATAGGACCTAAAATTCATCTCTCTGCATTATTAGAGGTTAATGAGTTGTTTGTGAGATGAACTACATTGAGGGGGGTACGCTGATGCAAAAGAATTTTACATTAAAGATTCAGGCTAGATACAGAACAGCTTGGCACAAACTCTAAAATTATCTCACTATTTACAGCAGTTTGCTAGTCTGCCAGAAGAGGGAGGTAAAGCAAAAGAAAAAACTATTTAAAAAGGCAGGACTTGAGGATTGCAGAAAGTTACATACTCATGGAAATCTAGCATCAGTCCCCAGAATGCCTTCACCCCACCTTCCTCTGCCATGCCCAGGTCAGATGAGGTTTCCACGCTAGATTACTTTAAACTCCAGAAGCACAAGCCAAATGGCTCAGAAGCAGGGTAATTAATTGTTCTTATCCTTGTCCGACAGAGTTGGTTAATACTGAGTCTAGCCAGGACTCAGGAACAACAGGCAAACAATCACCACTTACCAACAGGTTTTGGGCCAGGGTTTCAAGGTTTTGGTTTCCTCCCAAATCAGAGGGATGCCACACTAATAAAAGCAACAATATTTGACCAGGCCCGAATTCAGGTCTACTTTGTGAAAGAGGAAGAAGAATGACTATTCAGTAGCTACTGTGTGCTCAGAGCATTTTTACCTGCTTTCCACATTTGCCCTCACAAGAACTTGGTAACATAGGTATTATTATCCCCAATTTAGAGCAGGAAAGGTAGGTAAAAGGTCAAGTGCTTGCCTCAAGATACACAAGTAGTAAACAACACTCATTCGGACAGGTCCTGCACAGAAACCACGCTCCTTTCGCTACGCAGACAGCAACCCGTGGGATTACCCCATGTCTGATACAGTCGGTGCCATTATCAAGAACAAGGAAGTTTCCCATTGGAAAGAAAAGCATTCATGGCAATAGCTATTCAACTACATCAGATTCAGTGTTTTCCAAAAGATATTTCCTCGTCATCCACACTGACAGCAACAAGATTGTTCAAAACAAATACACACCACCTAAACTTGACTGGGTTCTATATTGTACTATGCAAAGAGGACTGACACTTGGTTTTGTAACAACACCAATAGCTGTTACTAACAAATTTTAAAATAAGTGGCATTCTCCTAATTTCCAGTTTGCTGGTTAAAACAAACAAATGTAGGACTTACAGACCTGCAGTGAAATTTTGCTGCTCTTGCTGGGTCACAATTTTGGCGATCTGAGCTCTGAGAGCAGCAAGTTCATTTTCAAGAGCACAGATCTTCTGCAGGGCTTCCTCATTTGCCAGCGCTGTAGTCTTCAGCTGAGGCTCTTCTTGAGATAAGTCTGGTAAGGATATCTGTCTACTTAGGGGCTTCTCAAAGAAAGGAAGGTCATCCTCGAGGGGTAACCTTGACCTGACCTTTGTTCTGCAAGGAAGACATAAGGTTGTTGTCAGTCACGGGCTCTGTATGGGGATATGAAACATCACCACCACCAATGAACAGAGTATCAGAGCACAATATCCAAGAACCACTGTTCAGGCTAATCTTACATAAATCCTCTCCCATTAATATTGAAACAGCAAAGCACTTCTCAACCTTACATAGCAACAATACCACAGCTAGGGTTCTTGTTGCCATAATTTTCCTTACTCTCTATATAATATGCACAAACCAACATTACCAGGAGGTATCACAGATTCCAGTAAAGTTTTTGCTAATCATGTTTTCTCTTCATCTGAACTAAGGAGAAGAAACTTTTCAATGCTCTTCAAGATGGTAAATTAATACTAGCTATAGTTGACAAAAAATCAAGTCAGTGATCATAGCCCTTCCCCAGGGTCTTGGTTTCAACATACCAATGTTAAGTGTTTTCCATGTATGAACAGAATACATCAAATTTTAAATATAACGTGACAAAGTGGGCAAAACACAACATTAAGAACTGAAAAGGAGAAAAAGAACTAATTATAATTGAGCCACGCAGTAACTACATAGATAGTCTCATTTTCACTTGGGTATTAAAAAAATTGTATTATGTGTAGTGGCCAGTGACTCCAAACGGAAGTCTTTTGAGATTGAGAATAAAATTCAGATTGCTTTCCAACTATCAATTTATATACTTGTCCATTTCCTAATATTTTCTACAGTTAAGCTTTCCCAGCCTGCATCCTACCTTTAAGTACTTTCTACCTGAAATTCTTTCCCTCCAGAAAACAGTCCTTGCCTCGCTTTTTTCTTATACCTACACCCTTTAAAAGCCTATAGGGGCTGGGCACGGTGGCTCACCTATAATCTCAGCACTTTGGGAGGCTGAGGCAAGAGGATTGCCTGAGCCCAGGGGTTCAAGACCAGCCTGGGCAACATGGTAAGACCTCAACTCTACAATAAATACAAAAATCAGCCGGGCATGGTGGCACCTGCCTGTGGTTCCAGTTACTTGGAAGGCTTAGGTGGAAGGATCACCTGAGCCCAGCAGGTCAAGGCTGCAGTGGCTGTGAGCATGCCACTGCACTCCAGTCTGGATAAGAGTGAGATTCTGACTCAAAAATAAAAATAAAAATAATCCTATAGGCTCAGAAAATTTTGCATACTGCCTTTAGATTCGAGAGTCACTTAGAACTCTATCATACTGAAATAATTCTTCACATAAATCCAAGGAGTGACTTCCTGTTTCCCCTTCTTCCTGCTGCCTGTCTCCCCTCCTTTCTGCTTTCTGTCCCCTATCTTCCCCGCTTCCTGTCCCCTCTGCACCCGGGCACCCCCTTTTTCCTGCTGTCAGTCCCCTCCTCTTCCTATTGCCTGCCCCCCTCCTTGCCACTGCCTGTCTTCTCTCTTTCCCCCTTTTTCCCACTTCCTGTCCCCCTCCTTCCTGTTTCACATCTCCCCTCCTTCCCACTGCCTGTCCCCCTCCTTCCCACTGCCTGTCTCCTCGCCTTTCCATTTTGAAAGAAGTTTTGGGGGCGCCCAGTAACGACTCCACGCCATCTGAACTGAGAGATTTATTAAAGGGGCAGTTACACGAAGGGACTGTAACCGAGGAAGGACGAGAGAGAGAGAAAAAGAGAGAGAGACCGAGAGAGAAAGAGAGCAAGAGAGCAAGAGAGTGGCGGGGACAGAGAGAGAGAGAGCAAAAAGGGGGGGGGAGGGAGTGTGAGAG